ATGTATGTGTGTATGTGTGTGTGTGTGTGTGTGTGTATGTATGTGTGTATGTATGTATGTATGTCCATCACTTGCATGCAGTGCCTGCAGAAGCCGAAAGAGAGTCAGATACCCTGGAACTGGAGTAATAGATAATTGTTAGCCTCCGAGTGTGGTAATTTGAATGTAATTGGCCCCCATAATCTCACAGGGAGTTGCACTATTAAGAGGTGTGACCTTAGCTGGGCTTTGGTGGCACACACCTTTAATCCCAGCACTCGGGAGGCAGAGGCAGGTGGATCTCTGTGAGTTCAAGGCCAACCTGGTCTACAAAGCTACACAGAGAAACCCTGTCTCAGGGGTCCGGGGTGGGGAAGAGGTGTGGCCTTGTGGGAGGAAGTGCATCACTGTGGGGGCGGGCTTTGAGGTTTCCTTTCCTCGGGGTACCACTCAGTGTCTCAGTTCACTTCCTGTGGCCCTCAAGATGTAGAACTCTCAGCTCTTCCCCCAGCACCGCATCTGCCTGCGTGCTGCCATGCTCCCTGCCATGGTACAACGTACTGAAGCTCTGAAACTGTGATCAAGCCACCTCAATTAAATGCTTTCCTTACAAGAGTTGCCATGGTCATGGTGTCTCTTCATAGCAATAGAAACCCTAAGGAAGCTGGGAGTTGGTGGCGCACGCCTTTAATCCCAGCACTCGGGAGGCAGAGGCAGGTGGATCTCTGTGAGTTCGAGGCCAGCCTGGTCTCCAGAGCGAGTGCCAGGACAGCCTCCAAAGCTACACAGAGAAACCCTGTCTCGAAAAACCAAAAAAAAAAAAAAAAAAAAAAGACCCTAAGGAAGACAATGTGGGTGCTGGGAACTGAACCCCCTTCTTCTGAAGGACAGCTATGCTCTCTCATTGCTGGGCCATCTCCCTAGCCCCTTTACTTTTCCTTTGGTTTATTTGGGGGGGATGTTTGTTTGGTTTTGAGATAGGGTCTCTCTGTGTAGGTCTGGCTGTGCTGGAACTTGCTATGTAGACTAGGTTGGCCTAGAACTCATTTTTCCTTGCCTCCTTTCAGAGTGCTGGGATTAACGGCATGTGCCATCGTGCCCAGCTCAGCCCCTTTGTTTCAATTTGTGTATTTATATTTAGAGGGTTTTTGTTGTTCCTGCTCACTGCTGTTGTTTTACAGAAAGTGAACCTAGGTCCTCATGCACGCCAGGCAAAGGGTCTTATACTGAGATTGATCCAGGCCCCCAGAGTTGTTTGTAAGTAGCAAACAATAAGACTTTGTGTTTCTCTTTAGAACTCCTATGCTTTAAATTAGCTTTTATAAAACAATCAACATGACTTCAAGCTACCATTTGCTGTTTTTCTTCTATTTATCCCTTATTTGTACTTATCTTCTTTTGGATGAATTTAGTATTTTTACATGATTTCATATTTTTTCCACTTTATGCTACAGGCCGATCTGACCTCTCTATGCAGATCAGGCTGGTCTTGAACTCACAAGTGCTGAGATTAGGACCTACACCACCCTACCTAGCCAGGTTATATTCTTTTGTTTTAATAGTTTAGCCAAGATTTACAATATACCCCTTAACTTATCATTACCTTTAAACAATGCCATTCTTATACTCTGTGTAGAGTGAAAGACATAATGATTTACCTATGTGACTCCCTTCTTTAAAAGTATGTGTGATGGCTTTCAGGTCTTGGCTCCAAGATGACAAAAAAAAAAAAAAAAAAAAAAAAAAAAAAAAGGCTGAGGCCTTGTGTAGCCAATTTGCTGCATGAACTGTGCCCAGTGCATGCCCAAGGACAAGGCCATTAAGAAGTTGGCCATTCAGAACACTTTAGAGGCAGCTCCTGTCAGGGACATATCCAAAGCAAATGTCTTGGACACCTATGTGCTTCCCAAACTCTATGTCAAGCTGCATTACTGTGTGAGCTGTGCTATTCATAGCAAAGTAGTCAGGAATGGATCTCCAGAAGCCTGGAAGGACTGAACACCTCCACCACAATTTAGACCTGCTGGTGCTGCATCACAACCTCCACCAAAGCCCATGGAAAGAGATGGCTTCATGAAGACAGAAGAAAAAACATCTTGGAAAAATAAAATGGGACTTTATGTAGCATTTGAAAAAAAAGTATGTGTGGTGATATATTATTTATGATCTAATATAGCTTGCCTGGAGATCAGAATGCAAAGCTAGCCACAGCCAAACAAGCTGGGGCAGTGGTGGCACACACCTTTAATCCCAGGGCTCAGGAGACAAAGACAGATAGATCTCTGGGAGTTCAAGGCCACCCAGGACTACATGAGAGTGAATCAGGCTAAAAGAGAAACAGAGCTCATGCCTTTAATCCCAGCACTAGAGAGGTCTATAAGACAGGAAGGAGCAGGGTCTCAGAGCTGGCCGTCAGTCTTGGCATTCAGTCTTAGGCAATTAGTCTCCAGACACATTGGGAGATTTAGTTTCTAGGTACACAGAAGCCAGGATCTCCATCTGCCCTTGTAGAGGTAGGAGCTACTACTGGTTGGCTGCTTTGCTTCTCTGATCTTCAGCTTGAACCCCAGTATCTGTCTCTGGGTTGTTATTATTTGTGTTATAAGAATGTGCTGTTGTGGGGCTGGAGAGATGGCTCAGTGGTTAAGAGCACTGACTGCTTTTCCAGAGGTCCTGAGTTCAATTCCCGGCAACCACATGGTGGCTCACAGCCATCTGTTATGAGATCTGGTGCCCTCTTCTGGTGTGCAGATATACATGGAAGCAGAATGTTGTACACATAATAAATAAAATCTTTTAAAAAAAATGGATTTCATAGCAATGTGTTTTCAGCCTTGTCTCAAAATATGTTAGTGACATATATAAATGTGATTCTTATTTTTTTTAAAAAAAAGAATGTGCTGTTGTAATTGGTTTAACTTTATTTCACTTTTCTCTGTTATAAACCCACAATGACTTATCATTGCTACAAAGAACTGGTTATACTTAAGATAGATATTTAATGCAGAGAAGGCAGCTTTCCTTGACCTTTAATTGGTTGAGTGGCTGGTCCAAGGAATGCAGGTGTGACCTCTCTGCTACTGTTTGGGGTGGGGGTACTTCTATTGTAAGTGTCACACCGTCCTCGAGTCCCCAGAGCTTCACTCTAGGTACTATACGCTCTTGGTCACTGCCTATCTGGTAGACGGGGCTGGCCTAGCGCCACAGATGGCTTCCTTCTCAGCTTGTCTTACAGATGTCTGCTGTGACTTCAAGTTCCTTTGGAGATTATGGGACAGGGCCTCCTGTCGGAGGTAGCTCGTGCTTACTCTGCTCTTTCTATGCTCGGACATGAGACTGTGTCTTCTATGTGTTTTCTCTTAATTCTCTCTGCAGCTCACAAGGGAGATAGAGCTGCTTTCCCCCTTGAGATAGAGCTGCTTTCCCCCTTTTCAGACTGAGATGAGAGCAAACTGGAATGGGCCTCACTTCTCGCTATTCCGAATGCCAGTTTGGTGTGACTAAAGCACACATTCTGCCAACTAGTGCCATCAAGGTTGAGAGCACTAGACTGGGAGGCGGGGCCTTGGGTTCTCAGTCCAGCTTTTCTAATTCTCTTTTCTCTCTTTCCACTTTAATTATGTGTGTGTGTGTCTATGTGTGCGCACATGAGTGTAGGTGCCTGTGGAGGCCAGAAACATCAGATCATCCCAAAGCTGGCATTAGGTGTGAAGGAACCAGCTCCCTTTTGGCAGCCATTACAGCCGAACACGTGCTTGCCATAAACCTGCCTTGGTCACTTAGAGGTCAGATGCCTGTCTCGTGACAAGGAACCTTAGTCACTAAAAGGTCAGATGCCTGTCTTGTGACAAGGAACCAATCAGAAGTTAGCTGGTCTCTTTTACTATACTAAGCCCCAGCTGCCCCCCACACACACTTTACTTCTTTTTGAGACAGGGTCTCACTAAATGCCCCAACTGGCCTCGAACTCACTCTGTAGCCTAGGCAGGCCCTGATGTTGTGACTCTCCTACCACAGACTCCTGAGTGGCTGGGACAGCAGGCTAGACACTCCCCTTACCCTTACGCTGTCCTATAAGATCTCTTGGGAGACCCTAGGAGCCGTCTTTTCTAGCCATCCACCGTAGCGGGTGGGTGAAAGACCCGAGCTAATATGGGGTTAGCTCGTTAAATTACAATAAAGCCTCGTGCAGTTTGCAGCAAGTTCTCGAATCCGCCTGGTGATTGGGGTGACCGCGAACCTGGCCTGAGACCCCGGATACTTCAGTTTTCGGGGGTCTAACAGGTGCAGTTGTGAGCTTCTTGACACGGGTGATGGGAGCTGAACTTGAAACCTCTAGAAGAGCATTGTGTGTGCTCTGAGCCATCAATTCATCAAGCCTTTTTTTATCTTGTCTTTTCCTCCTTCTCTTCGTTTTTTAGTGCTAAGGGTTGAATCCAGAGCCTCATGCTTGCTAGGCAAATATTCTTTTGCTATACTAAGCCCCAGCTGCCCCCCCCACACACACACACACTTTACTTCTTTTTGAGACAGGGTCTCACTAAATGCCCCAACTGGCCTCGAACTCACTCTGTAGCCTAGGCAGGCCCTGATGTTGTGACTCTCCTACCACAGACTCCTGAGTGGCTGGGGCAGCCGTTATCGTCAGGCGGGAAGCATGGTGCATGCAGACAGACTCCATGCTGGAGAGGCAGCATCTGCAGGCAGCGGCAGAGAACTGGCTTGAGCTTCTGAGACCTCAAAGCCCACCCGCTAGTGACACACTTCTCTAGCAAAGCCACACCTCCTAATTGTGCCACTCCCTATGAGCCTATGGGGGCCATTTTTATTCAAACCGCCAAATGATGAATCCTATCTAACAACAATGTATATGTATAATTGTGTAAATATTTTTAATTTAGATTTTATATATATATATATAAAGTGTATAGAATATATTAAGTATTTTCAGTTGAATACAGTTTATAAACATAAGTATTTGTGTTTATGTTCATATAATCTGAAAGGTTCTACATGTTAATATTAAAACATTAAAATAGCTTTTTCTTTCTCTTTGAGAAGTCTCATTAAGGAGCACATGGTACATGGGCAGAGCAGTCTGGTCCCTGGGGAGACAGCCTCAGCCTTCCAGCCACTCTCGATTCCCCCCGTATAGCCCAGATTGGCGGCCCCGAACTTGCTGTGTAGCCAAGGACAACCCTGAACTCTTGATCAACTTGCCTCCACCTCCGGGCACTTGGATTACAGATGAACATAGTCTCAGTCTCACTTGCTTTAGGCAGTGCTGGGGCCTGAACCCAGGACTTAGTGCATGCTGGGCAAATGCTCTACCAACTGAGCTAAACTCTTTTATGTGAATGGTGAAATAACTGTGTATTCCTCTCCACACCCCCATCTCTACCCCAAGTACCAGGGATTGATCCTAGAGCCTCATGCTTACAGGGTAAGCACTCTATCACTGAGATATGTTTTCTAGTCTGTGTTTGTTTGTGAGACAAGGTCTCACTAAGTTACCCAGGCTGGCTTTGAATTCACTCAGCAGCTGATAGCCTAAGGTTTTGAACTTGTTATCCTCTGCCCCTCTGCCTCTGCCCTCTGGCCTCTGCCCTCTGCCCTCTGCCCAGGGGCTGGGATTATAAATAAATCTGTGGCACCAGACCCAGGTCTTCTGTGGATATTTGTTTGAAATAGTTTATTATCACGCCAAGGTTGAACTTAAAGTTTTTATCTTATTTTATTATCTGGTATGGGTATGTTCCCCTGAGTGCTGGTGTCCTTAGAGGCCAGAGGCTTCAGATGCAGCATTATAGGTGGTGGTAAACCTGGTGGATTCTGGGAATGGCTGCCAGGTTCTCAGCAGAATTAGAACATGCTCCTAATGGCTGGGCCATCTCTCCAAACTGCCAAGGTTGATTTTGAACTTGGGAGCTGAAATGACCCACGAACCGCAGCCTCCTGTGTGGCTGGGATTAAAGTATACCATCATACCCAGCTTTCTTTTATTTTTTTTTAATTTATGTATTTTTTTGTCCTTTGTATAATAATTTTTGCCAGGGGAACTAGTTATTTTCTTAGAAATAGTAAACTCACATAAACCAACAAATAGTCACCACTGGATCCAAAATCTTGGTGCCCCTTCAACTTTGTCCTGATAATTTCTTGCAGGGGGCCTTTTCTGTCAGGAATAACAGGACAATGGCAGAGTGAACACAGAACATGGCACATGGAAAAAGCAATCTAACCCCTGGGGACTCAGCCTGGGCTCCCAGCCATCCTCATTTCCCTCACCTCCATTCACTTGCCTCCCCAGGTTTTTCTGTCTTTTGCGGTCAGCACATGGCACATGGAAAAAGCAATCTAACCCCTGGGGAGTCAGCCTGGGCTCCCAGCCATCCTCATTTCCCTCACTCACCTCCATTCACTTGCCTCCCCAGGTTTTTCTGTCTTTTGCGGTCAGTGAAGACCAACATGAACCTCAGCAGCCCTTCCGAACAATCTTGTTGGCCTGCATTCATTCATTCATTCATTCATTCATTCATCATAGGGATTGGATCAGTGGGAATTGTCATGGCCAAGTCTGCCCAAGGAGCTTGTAGTTGTTGGGGAGGGTAGAGCTGCGTGCACAGGGGAAGGGCTGGGAGGAAAACAGAAACAACACATCTAGACAAAGAGACCGCCAGATTTCCACACAGGAGTATGAGTCAAGCATCACCATGGGGCTTGGGGCCTGGGGACAGAAATAGTGATGCCATCATTCCATTTATCAATCTATCTATTCATTCCACAAATACACTCGCAGCATCTGCCATTAGCTTGTCACAGCCGCTGGAGAGGCAACAGTGAACAAAACAAGATAATGACCCCCCCACCACCTACTCTGTTTTGTTTATGTTCTGTGGGACACGGAAACAAAGGAAGTAAGCAAGTGTATAAAGGATCGTTGCTGAGGCGTTAAGTGCCATGAAAAAGCTGGCTAGTGTGTCAGAGAGCACGGGGGAGGTGACATCGGTGCTGATGTGTCGTCAGCTAAAATAGAGTCGGGATGGTTTGAGATTCTTCTCCTGGAATATCTCACCTTCCCCTCCACTTGCATCATATGCCCTCTGCTCAGAGACTTTGCAGGAGGCCTCTGGAGTCTTCTGGGCCATCCTAGACCTTTAACTTGGCACTTCAGGGCCTCCATAGTCTTGTCCCACTGCCTGTTTGCCCACCCCATCGTCTCAGGAACCTGCCCTGCTGACCGTGACAGGCTCTGTTCATGAGGCCTCCACACCTGGAGCCTGGGACAGTTTCCTGACTTCTCCAGTTCAGAGCACAGGCCATCCTTGGCCTGACTGCTCCCTTAGGTGGTGAATTCAGTCTTCTTGGGGGAGGGGCTGGAGCCTTCAAGGCCCTCTCTACTAGGTATGGCAATTATGCCTATAATTCTAGCACCTAGAGAGACAGGAGGATTGAAAGTTTAGGTCAGCCTGGTCTATAAATCAAGACCTTGTCTTAAAAAAAGAGAGAGAAGGAAATGAAAAATTTAATTAAAAAAAAATAAGTGTATAAAAAGCTGGTTTGGTGGTACACACCTGTAATCCCCGTTTGTGGAGGTGGAAACAAGGTCAGGAACTCAAGGCCAGTTGGTCAGTTACCTATTAAGTTCAAGTAGAGTCTGGGGGCTTCATGAGAACTTGTCTTCAAAAAACAAAATTTTAAAGCAACCAGGCATAGTGTTGAACACCTTTAATCTCAGTACTAGGGAGGAGGCAGAGCTATGTGACATCAAAGCCAGTGTGGTGCAAGAACAAGAGCTGGACAATGAGCCCTTGTCTAAATTAATAAATAAGCCAAAGACCCCCCCACACACACACACACACTGGATCCATTCTGTCTACCTGGCTAGAAAAACTTCACATGGCTTTTGAGCTCATCTGTCATCTTGTATCCACACACACACACACACACTGGATCCATTCTGTCTATCTGGCTAGAAAAACTTCACATGGCTTTTGAGCTCATCTGTCATCTTGTATGAAATGAAGATGAAAAGGCAAAAGAAGACTCGGGAAAACCAGAGTTCTCCAGGAGTAGGAGCAACAGGACCCTGTCTTCTCAATATTCAGAAGCCATCAACAAAGAGTCGGTGCTGTTTGATGGAGGAAAAGGCACTGCAGTGGACTCCATGCAGGGTGCAAGCTGCCTAGCACCTTCTAGAATTCTTCCCACTCCTCAATTCTAAAAAGACTTAAAGTTCAGGGTTCTAGGCTGGCAGGAACAAGGACTAGCTCGGAATATCCATAACCACTTTCTGCAAGCCTCAGCTCCTTAGACTTGCTGCAGCCACCCCCCCACCCCCCTTTAACCTGGGAGAGGAGCCCCTGGGTTTAGCTATCTGAAACACAGGATGTCTGTCACCTGTCTCTGGTCCTTCCCTCCCTTCTTCTCCCTCCTCCCCTTCCTCTTCCCTTCTCTCCTCCCCCTCTTTGGTGCTGATTCAATTCTGAAGCTTGACCTTTGACACTTTGGGGCAAGATGTCCAGGCAGTGGGAGGCTAGGGGAGGGGTGCGTGATTGTCACGTTGGAAATTTAGGATGAAAGTCAGTACGGTAAACACGTACTCATCATGAGCCTCCTTCCACTGGGTCTTTCATCTGAGGAATCTAAAAGTCCCAGACAAATGGTAATTAATTTTCACAACAGCTTCCTCAGGAGGATGGTACCAGCCAACGGCCAGAGGGCATTTTCCTGTGTTCTTTCCTAACCCTTCTACTCTCCCGCAGTAGGCTGGCAGCCCCAAGGGAACAATGCCACATGGGTAGGGGCCTAGGTCTTAGACTCCTCAGTCTAGAAGGCTTCAGGGCCAGAATGAGGCTCCTTCCAAGTAACTTCCTGCCCCTGCTCCCTGCCCTGCTCCCCCAGAGGGTGACTAAGGATGACTTAGACATCCTATTTCTTGCCTCTACTGGCCAGCTGAGGCTAAACAATGTTATATGGCTCAGCAGAAACCTCGGCTCCAGGACAGCCTCTGCCCTGTCCTACCCTTTGCATCCACACTGTGCGCAGTCACTTGCCTACCCCCCACCCTGGAGGGGAGAAGATGCTTGAAATGGTTTTTATCTTTAAGCACATTATAGAGGAAATATAAACTAGTTGTGTAAAGCTCAGGAAATACTAAAGAATATTTGGCTGGGCATGGTGGTGCTCACCTTTGATCCCAGCACTTGAGAGGCAGAACAAATACAAACAATATTTCAATAATTCCCCTACTGCCAAGGGCACAGCAACTGAGATCTTGTTACTTTATTTTTGTCTATTTGTTGCTGTTGCTATTTTTTTTTTTTTGTCTTTTTGTTTTGTTTGAGACAGGTCTCTCTAGGTAGCTCTGGTTATCCTGGAAGGAACTCACTGTGTAGACCAGGCTGGCCTCAAACTCACAGATCCTATGGAATGCCAGGATTACAGTGTGCACACTGTATTTGAGGAAATACTAGCATATACTCAAAGTGGAGTTGCAGAGCTGGCTCCATTAGCAAAGCTTTTGCTGTTTTAATGGTGAGGAGTTGAGTTTGGATCCCCAGCTCTCACCAAGCATGGTGGCATCTTGTAGTCTGAGCACTGAGGAGGCAGGAGCAGATCCTTGGAGACTGATTGCTGGCCTTATCGAACTCAAGGAGCTCCAGGTTCAGTGAGAAACTGTGTCTCAAAAAATAAGGTGTGGGGAACTAAAGGGATGGCTCAGCAGTTAAGAACACTTCCAGAGAACCAGTTTGATTCCCAGCACACACATGCAGATCCTAACTGTCTGTGACTCTGGTCCTAGGGGATCTGATGTCCTCTTCTGACTTTTGTAGACACCAGGCAAGCAAACGGTGCACGTATGTGCATTCAGGGAAAATACTCATACACATAAAAATAAATAAAAACAATAAGGTAGAGAATAATAGAAGACGCCCAAAGTGGACTCCACATAAACATGCACAAACACATGCACACACACAAACATGTACACATGCATATGCTACACATAAACATATGTATGCACACATGTAAAAACACAGACATGTGTGCTCGAACCCACTTATAGTAAAGCAAAGACATGTATATGTACACACACACACACACACACATACCATTAAGCACAATTATACCTGCACACCCAAATAAAAAAAGAATAGAAAGCTATAAAGTGAAAGTCAAATTCTACCTTTCCAGAAGCTGTCTTCCATATACAAGCATAAACATGCACAGCATAACACATGTATAATTTAGCTCCTTTCCACCTCATGTGAATATGCATTTTCTATGCATTAAAAAAAAAATCATCGGCCAAGCCTTTTATCAGCCACTAATATTTTTTTGTCTTGCTGGTAGGCTCTAGTGTACTTAACCTTTTCCTCATTTCTGGACTTTTACTCAGGTGAGGAACAGGAAACAGCGACTGAGTCAGAATGAGCGCTGGGAGGAGGAAGCACACCAGGCTGGCCTGGGGGCCCACCAGGCGCAGGTTCTTCCTGTCTTTTCTAGACCACTCTCCAGAAGAGGAAAATGAGGCACAGGGGAGGTTAAGGAGGAGTCTGCTTGTGGGTTAAAAGCCAGAGTTGCAAGCACCGTTTATCAGTGCTAAAGGCCATGGCTGTGCAACTTAACCAAGACTTGTTAGAAAATCCAGATTGAGTGGTGGCACGATGCTCGGTTGGAGATGGGGAGAGCCCTTGTCATTTACCTTCCCACTCACGCTAATAGCATTCTCTGCCAGCTATCAGGGATCCAGGGTGAGAAAGGCGCAGACTTTGTCCTGTAGACACTAACAGTTGCATGGAGGTGGCCATGTAGACAAGCTGTCCCGTCAGCATAGGAGAGGAACATGGAAGGGACCATGGGGCCTAACCCACCAGGGCTTTCTCTCTCAGACTCCAAAGGTCAAGGAAAGTGGGGAGGAGGCCTAGATTGAGTCAGGCCCCTGGTGCCTGTTTGGAAGTGCCAGGGAGGCTGACCCACCCCTGCACCCTCCCCGATTTCTGGGTTTACCCCAGCCTCTTGCCCTTCACAACATGGCTTTCCCTGTTCCCAGGGCAATAGAGTGGGTGGCAGGCTCTCAGCTTCTGAAAATGTTTTCAAGGAAACAATTTTGGTTTATTTTCTAGAAACTCAGGAAGTTTCCACCACACTTAGCACAGGAGTGGGAGGCACAGGAGGCTCATACGCATAGGGCATGGTAAGTGTGTCTGATTGGAGCCCTGCTCTGGAATACTGGAAAGTAGTTGACAGGGATCAGACTTACGCTGACAAGCCATAGAAACACAGCCTGGCAATCTTACACAAGACGGTCCTCTGCATAGTATTGGTAGGATCTGAAACATGCCAGTCTTGAAAAGTAAGCAATAAATTAAAACATCCAAAGGCCCAGAGCAGCAAGGGCCTAAAACTGCCATGTCTCATGAAGAGTGCTCAGGACGGTCTGTCACTACAGCCAGATAGCAAGGTGAAGGCCTCGGCAGCTAGGGCCCTCAGGGGCCAGGAGCCAGGCATTGGGTTGGAAAATCTGGCTGGATTGACTGTGGTCTGCACCCAGGCCTGCTGCACTAGGCTTGTAGGCAGCTGATCAGCCCTTGGCCTTGGGTAGGAGGAGCTGGGTACAAGGGAAAACCTGCCTGGTAGGCAGAGGGCTTTGGATCAGTGGCGCAGGGAGGGTTAAAAGAAAACATAAGCAAAGAGCTTTTCCGCACTGCCTGATGGTCAGTAAATGCCGGCAAAGGACATGTGGCTACTCTTATTGCCATCACTATCCACTGTCTTCTTTGTAAGGTGAAATACATATAGTTTTTCAGTCTAATTAGATAACAAGAGAAACACAAAATCACCCTGCGATTGCCGAAAACTCTGTCAACACTGGATGTTTCCAGCCAGCCTGGTTTCTGTGCATTGGATTTCCTCTTCCTCGCTCAGTCTGTCCTCCTTAATCCATTACCCAAGCCTTTGAACAGTTGTGATGTCTGGTTTCTGTGCATTGGATTTCCTCTTCCTCGCTCACTCCCTTTCGTCAGTCTGTCCTCCTTAATCCATTACCCAAGCCTTTGAACAGTTGTGATGGTCTGTGCACATGGCTGGGTGCCCCACCTTGTAGTATTTGCACTTCTGTAACAGCTGGATTGGGGGGTGGGGGTGGATCCTGGAGAGGGATGTGTGATTAAATTAGAGCATCCTTTAACAAAAAACGATTTCAGATTCAGGAATTAGTGTTTGAAATACTGATACTTGACATTTGACCTCGGCTAATGAACTTTATCTCTAGGGGATTTTGGGGAGCTTGTTTGCTTCAATTCCCACAATTCAGAGTGGGTAGGAGGGGAATGCAAGTGCCCCCCTCCCTCTCTTCCTCTTACAGGGGTCCTTGTGATGCCACCAAAAGAAGGCGTGTCCATGGCCCAGTGTCATCTTGATTAGTCTGCCCACTGCTTTCTCACGTTCTCAATACACTCAACCACTGATTAGGCCGGAGTGGTTTTTCCGGCCTGTGAAATTACCTGCCATTAGTGGAAAGTGTCCCAGCCTTGTCTCTTGCCAGGTTGAGACTTCGGGCAATTTCCTTAGATTTCTCAACCTGTTTTGGTAAAAAGAGAGTCGTGTGTGTCTACTAGGATTAAAGAGAAGCACGCTGTGCCCAGGTGGCAAGTTTTTCTACTCTGTCCTCCACACTCTCCTCCTCCTCCTCCTCCTCCTCCTCCTCCTCCTCCTCCTCTCTCCTCCTCCTCCCTCTCTGTTTTTGTTTTGAGACAGAAGATTTGAAGCATAGGGTGGGCTTGATCTTGTTATTTTCCAGCCAGGACCTTCAGTGCTAGGATGACAAGTGTGTCCCCTGTGGACTCAGCTTTCTTTCTTATTTATCATACTTCCATTCATCCTTGCAGACGGGACAGAGAAGGCCTATGCTTATGTAGACTTTAATAATGAAGGGAACTGGGGTGGGGTGGGGTGGGGGAGTGTTCAGCCACAAACAGAGTAGAGCATTCCACCCCCAGTCTCCCAGGAGGGTGCTCGGAAGGAGTTCCCTCCTAACCTACTGGAACCTGTCCTAAAGGGTAGGTGTCCTGGTGACCACCCACCAGGAGAGAGGTCACGGAAGATGGGGGCGGGGGCGTGGTTTCATCCTTTCTCATATTCCAAAGCTCCATTGGAGCTGGAGATGTGTGGAGGGCTCAGGGGCCATACTCTCCATCTGTCCTCATTTTATAGAGGAGAGTACCAAGACCCCCCACCCCCACCAATGGATTGTTCTATTTAGGATTCTATGAGAAATGAATGACCAAATGAGGACAGTGACTGGAAGTTGCTTTTTCAATGTCTTTTTTTAATGTGTTGGAATGTTTTGCCAGTGTGTGTGTGTGTGTGTGTGTGTGTGTGTGTGTGCCCCACCTGTGTTGCTAGTGGTGGTGGAAGTCAGAAGAGGACTTGAGATCCTCTAGAACTGGAGTTATGGGTGACCGTGAGCCATCACGTGGATACCTGGAATGGAGCCCAGGTCCTCTGCAAGAGCACGTGTTCACCTGCTGGGCCATCTCTATGGTCCCTGGCTGAAGTTTTGAAAGAGCTGTTTTCAGTGTAGTACAAATCACCCCCGACCTAAATTTGGCTATCCTCCAGTTCCCAAAATTCCTCTTTACTCCCTTCGTTTTAAGCCCCACACCCCTTTAAGTAAAGGTTTCCTGTGTAGCCCAGGCTAACCTTGAACTCACAACCCTCCTGCTTCAGGCTCCTTAGTGCTAAAATTACAGTCATGGTCCACCCTGGGTATGGTCTACTGTATCACAGCCAGGCTAAACTCCCTTCCCCAGCTAAACTTCAAGGCTTTGCCACCAATTCAAGTGTAAGCTTCTCCCAGCAGGGACCACTTTCTGCATCACTTAAAAGTAGTGTTTCTGGAATGATGGAGGGATGGAGAGAGGGAGTGAACACAAACGCAGCCAGAGCTGGCAGGAATGCTATGGTAGCTCTCTGTGAAAGCTGATTTATGATTATATAGCAGTCTACCACCTTGCAACCATATGCAGCTGGTGCTGTCAGTCAGTCCTACCCAGCGGAAGTTCAGTAACTTTCAGAGAACACATAGCTAGTAAGTGCCCCATAAAATTGGGATCCTAGCAAGGGAGCTGCACCCATGCATAGTTAGTGCTCATACTAGTGACGGCTTTATAAGAAATATGAAAACAGTTCCATCTTTGAGTGTGGAGTGGTCTTCTGGTAAACAGTATATGACACTTACCTTTTCTCATCAAACATCACAACAGTGTCCCAAGACAGTCAGGGAGAAATGCCTAAATTCCCTCAAATGTGACTGTTGTCTGACAACATTTTTTCTGGGGAAATGAAGCACACTTGTCTACTCACCCCAGGTAGAGAGCCCATGAGAGACCAAAGTACAGATACCACCAGTGAGTTTCACTGGGGTTACTTACAGGAGCAGACATAACTAAAAGACTACTACATCACCAAGGCCCACCAAACCCCGAGCATACTGCAAAGCCTACAGGCAGCTCATTCAGGCTGCAGTTTGTCCAAATCTCTTCTAGGCAGGGAGTCTGGTCTGATGTCATTGTCTCTGGTGCTCAGGCCTTCTTCCTCTGAGGCCTCTGAGGGGGACTGCCTGCTTTCTTTACTCTCTCAGGGAGGGGCCTTGTGAATCTGGTCTGTTTCAGGGACTTCCTGAAGCTATTTCTTAATTGTTTACCTCCTTGCTTAAGGAGCTCCTCTGGAGGATGGAATGCTTTAATCTCAGAGGACACATACAACCGTGAGCGGCTGCCAGGGCAAGGAGCCAACTGGTGTCCATCTCTCCTTGTTCGACCCACAACTGTATCAATGGGTGTTGTAGTGTTTGCAGGAAGAACAGACCAATGCATTTCTTTCACACTAGCAGATGGAGGCTGGCAGCAGTGATGGGATACCACACAAGTGGCAGAACCTGGATGGAGAGTTCCTCATTCCCAGGCTGGGCTCCCGGAGGCTGGCAGCAGTGATGGGATACCACACAACAAGTGGCAGAACCTGGATGGAGAGTTCCTCATTCCCAGGCTGGGCTCCTTTCTGTCTATTCTTGTGACTATGAACACAGAGCTAACACACTGCTAGGGACTGTGCTGGACTCTGGTAATACAAACCAGTGCGCCAAGGAGAAGGAGGAGCATGGGAAGCACTTGCTTTGGGCACAAAGTCTCCTTGGAGGGTACCAAACTCCTCCCCCCCCCCCAGTAATCAAGGTAGACAGTACTTCATTATTTTAAAAATATATTACCACTGTGAGTTTGTGTGACGTATTGGGGTGGCATATGTGTGTGACACCACACCTGTGGAGGTCAGAGGACAACTCTGTGAAGCCAGATTCTCCCCTTCTACGTTTCTGTTGGTTCTAGAGGCCGAACTGTGCTCCCTAGGCCTGATTACCAAGTGCCTTCACCTGCTGATAGGTCTAGCTGGCCCAAGGGAAGTGATGTTTTCAAGCAAAACTTTATAAAAACAAATAAACAAGCAAATAAACACACCAAACTAGCAAACCATAGCCTATAGTTCTACAACCTGGTTTTGATTTTTGTTGTTGAGACAGGGTCTTGCTATACAGCCTAGGCAAGCATCAAACTCCTGGCCTGTCATTCTGAGAGCAGGTGAGAAAAAGCCAAGTAAACAAGGCTAAAGTCTTGTAACCTCTGTTCCTTCGTGGATTTGCTCCTGGAATGTGCTTTCGAGCCCCTCCCAGGTATAGGAGTGGATTTGCTTCAGATTAGCCATCGTCTTACTTTTGTTCTAAAACGTCTCCAAACACAGGTTGGCCTGTGACTGTCTACAGCCAAAATTCACATGACCTCTGCTCATGACCTCGCTTAACCCTCAGAATGCCCTCTGAATATGCACCATCTGATGCTCTGAATAAAGTTGGATATTGCATGAGACCATGGTTAGGCTCACGGTTAGGCCCTGCTCTCCCAGGTTCATGCTGCCAGCCAGATGGTAACACTGGCCCTTCTAACTCAGTCTCTTACGTGTTGGGATTACAGGTATGTGACACACAACTAACTTGTGGCCTGCTTTTTTTTTTTTAAGTTATATTGGTTATTTTTAATTTTAAAAATAATTTAAAATGATTTTTTGTGTATGCGAGTTTTGTCTGTATGTATGTCTGTGCACAGCCTGTGGAGGCCAGAACATAACCCCTGGAACTGGCATTATAGATGAGTGTGAGCCACCCTGTGAGTGTTGAGAATCAAACCCTGGTCATCTGGGAGAGCAGCCAGCTCTCTGAAATTTTGAGGCACCTCTTCAGCCCTGTTTTTGTCTTTTACGATGGGAGTCTTTAGGCTGGAATGTAGTGGTGCATGCCTTTAATCCTTGCACTTGGGAGGCAGAGGCAGAGGCAGGCAGATCTCTGTGAGTTCAAGTCCAGCCTGGTCTACAGAGTGAGCGTCAGGACAGGCTCCAAAGCAATACAGAAAAACTCTGTCTCAAATAAATAAATAAATAAATAAATAGGGGATCTTTGCTGGCGAGTTTTTGTGAGCTTGGTACAAACTGGAGACATCAGAGAAGACTGAGAAAATATGCCCATCAGATTGGCCTGTCGTCAAGTCTGTTGCTCATTTTCTTGATTAGTGATTGATGTGGGAGGCTCCAGCCCACTGTGGCTGGTGCCACCCCTGGGTATGCAAAAGTAGGCTGAGCAAGCCGTGGAGGGCAAGCCAGGAAGCAGCACCCTCCCCGGTCTCTTCACAGTTCCAGCCTCCAGGTGCCCTGTCTGAGCTCCTGCCCTGCCTTCCTTTCATGCTGCACTGCCAGCTGTGAGAGAGACACTTTCCTGTCCTAGTTGCTTTTTTTTTTTTTTTTCCCAGTTGCTTTTGGTATTTATCACAGCAATGGAAAGCGAACTGGGATAGGGTCTCGTGTAACCCAGGCCAGCCTTACACTGTCCATGCAGCTGGAGATAACTCT